GGGGATAGAAGCATTCTAGGATTCTTATGTACCCTAACTGGGGATAAAAGAGATGGATATTCCTCTGACGCGATATCTGACCAGGTTTCAGATACCGTAGCAACTCTTCTAGGGATAACAACTTTGATTAAACCATGCTGGAAAAGTGAATTTTGTTAGGGATTTACGGTGTTGGAGTAATAAACTTCGTTGGGGAATTAAATCTTGTAGACCGTGTTGAGGAAATAAACTCTGATGGGGATTGGAATTTCATAGATTATGCTGAGGATGTTTCCACTGTATGCTGGGGAAATGATCAAACTTCCTTATATGTTAGGGGACCTATTGGGGAACATGATCATGTCAAGCTATCCATTAGGGATATGGAGGTGAATTGCTTGAAGATGCCCCAATTTCTGTCTGAGGGCATATTAGACTTGCGAAGAATGTATCTGTGTTGAAGATGGGCTTGTGCATATAGCTCTGTTGAGATAATTCTGTGGAAACTGCTTTGTGGGGATTTATGGATGACTTGAACATTATCTCAACTTCTAGAGCCCTCGGTAAATGCTGATTAGGGTGATAAGTCTTATATTGATAGACAAGTGATGAGATAACGGGACATAGTCATACCTTTAATCCCTAACTTTTGTTTGGACCGTCTTTTCCGATTTTCAGTCCACCGGGATACCCTTTTTTTCCCAAGTCGCCTTTTCAGGTTTTTGACTTATCGGGTGTATAATTTTATTTATATATTCCTAATTTTTTCCCGAACACTTTTAGTTCATCGGGATTCCTTTATTTTTTCCTAGGCCTGTTAACCTAGCGGGTCTCTTTTCATGTGTAGTATTTCCCGACTATGTCCGTGTTCGTAGGTTGTGGAGAATTGTCACTGTCCATAGTAGTAAGGGTTGTAGCATTTCCAGGAAATGTTTGCTTGATCGTACGTGACCCTTTGCTGGAATTCATATTCAATGCCCCTAGTGATTCAAATAGAGATCTCCCCCAGGCTATTCATCACTTTTGAGAGATTCCTTGAATCTTCACTTGACTGCCACAGATGAGTTGGACAATAACATGTCATACCCCTTGATTTATAACCAATTGAGAGGCTTGTTACTGGAAATTTCTTTCCATCTGAGGTGATTTTATTCATTGAGAGGATTTCTGTTCATTGAATATTTGTCGTGCGAATTTCTCTACTGTCGAACAGTTAGTCATATGCAAACAGTGGTATTAAAAATGCAAAGCTTATATCTGTCTTGAAGTTTTGAAAATGCATTTTTAGTTAAAACCGAATTTTGTAAGAATATGAGTTCAACTCAGGTTTTATAGTAAGTCTTATAGGAGTCAGGAAACCTTTTATAATAGTATGCTTTTGAACTAACCTAGGCTTCAGTTAGGACTTTAAGGGTTGTAACATGGCCTAGTTCACGGTTTAAGAAGCAAAGGAAGAAAAGGCTCAAAATTTATTTGTTCCCAAACCATTCTCTATGATGTTCTTCAGCCCTATACTTAGTTAATTATGCGTTTAGATTCCAATTGAGTCTGGAATGATATTTTGGTGATGGTTTGGATACTGGAAGTTTACTTGAGAAGGCAGTCATTTTTTGTGACATCTTTCTTTTGTTGAGGATTTTTAGCGGCCTCTTTTTCACTTTATTATCCCTAACTTTTTCCTGAACTGTTTTGTTTGAGATTACAGTCAGCGGGATGTCCCAGTTTTTTTCCTAAGTCTCCTTCATAGGTTTTGTCTTAGCGAGCTTTTCTTTTGAAAGATAATGACTGTCCGACTTAATGATTACGGGGAACCATCACCGACTTTTGATTTGGAAGGATGTCTTTGACACTACCTGTTGTGTACGAAGGAAAAGCTTCTGATTGAATGCTTAATTGAATTAACAGAGAAACTATCCTGCCCCAGGTTATGTTTAAGGGTTTCGATTCGCGTGAAAAAGAAAACTCCTACTTCTTAGGCTCAAAGGGGTTGACTAGGGATTAACTTCCTTATATATCCATTGTTTAGGAATTGAAGCAACGCATGTACATCGTTAGAAAGGTTTCTTCAAAAGCATAATGTATGAGATTATGGTATCGTTTTCGTCATCCTCTCTTTAAAGACTTATAACTTTTAACAATAGTTTAATATCATAAAAAGGAAGTAAAAAGCACAATTTAAATATAGTGAAAATGAATGGATTAATTCAAGATAAACATATGCAATGCATTAATGGGAAAAAAAACAAAGTTTAACATAAAGATAAGTGTTCGAACAAACAAAAGAAATTACAACTGAAAATTCAAATGAACTAGATGATCTCAGTCTTAATCATGATTTGGCATGTGAGCAGTGATCACATTGGGAGTCTTAGGAGGGTCAAACTCAATCTCCTTAGCATCAATCATATCTTGAATCTTGTTCTTCAACACTTAATAACCATTCGTATCATGTCGAGGACTATTAGAATGGTATGCACACCTTGCATTGGGATGATAGCAAGGAGCGGAAGTATTGGGATTCTGTGGAGGATCCTTCAACGTAATCAACTCTGCCTTCAACATGTGTTGCAACGCTTGAGCCAATGACATGTTGATTTTGCTAAAGTGTTTTTTGGGTGTATCCTGCTTGTCATACTCCAATTTTTGACCTAAGATCCCTTCTTCATTTGCATTTTTTGTTATATACATCAAGGTCACAAAATATGGTCGGTTTCGAACGTTTCACCTTCGAGCATTGCTTTTGCAGAGATTAGCGAGTGTTGTTAACATTTTATCTTATGTATGACTAACTTCTAATCAAGCACGAAGTGTATGTTTTTTTTTGTTTCTTTGATTTCATGTGCAGAAACAGGTCTGAATCAAGAGCATCAGGCGTCACGCCTCAATTAGGGTTTTGAGTCTCTCAAGCCAGAAGTACGATTGATCATTGATTCTCGAAGACTGATTCATCAAGGAAACTTTCATAGAATCGTGTGATTATTTCAACATTGTGTCCAACAAGTGGTCTCAAACTTCTCCAAAGCTTCCTTAAAGAATAGTCGAGGTTCTATGACCATTGGTTCACGTGTATTTCACCTTGCCTTGAAATACAAGAAAAATATGGCTATGCAAGTCAATTCAAACACTTCGACCGAAAGTCATATGCAAGTTTTCTTTAAAAGATGAAGACGAATTGTGTTTAGAAAGCTGCGAGAGGACTTTATGGGACTTTTGTCATGATTTAAGAGTTTCTGGATCTCTAAGTTCAGTTCACTGTGCCAATTTCTCAATGCGATAACATTTCTCCTCAAATCCCCCTTCTAGTGATCATTCGAAGCTTTTAAGCATGGTTCGATTTCTTATACTTACATGACGGGGGTGAATTTCGTTAGAGTGGGGTGATTAAATTCAAGATCATTTTGGAAGAATTTATTCGGAATACTTGAAATTTTCATCATATGAATTCAAGTGTTAATTAAATAGAGGTTATCAAAGGGGCTCATTCAATAATAATCGTTCATCACATTAATATTTATTCAAGATTATTTTTGTGTGATTATTTTTATGGTTTCACACTGTGGCCATTTGAATTCACATGAGGTATGTATTAAAGGAGATATTGAAAAAAGAAACTTGATTCAAATAATCATTTATCACAATAACAAATACATGATGGTTACAAGGTCAATTCATATAATACATTTGGATCTCTAATACAAGATGCAAGATTGAGGTCTTAAGGCTTGCATCATTATTTATTCATCATTCAAACATTCATTCAAGCATCAATCAATTACTTTCCAAATTCAAGTGGAAGATTTCAAATTTTTATCAAGATAAATATAAAGATTCAAAGTGTTTACAATTATTTAGAAAATTACATTCAAGACAAGTTCCATTCATGTTACAATTTTATTCGGAATTATCACTACAATGTTATAAGAGGAATTACAAGTTTGTACATAAAAATCATGACTAAAATTCTAATGTCCTAAAGCTTCATGCTTCAAACATGCTGCCCATATTTCCAGCCTTGTTTCAACAATAACAGTCCATTTTTATGGTATTTTTCTGTCCAAAAAAGCAAACTAAAATAGTCCAAATTCTGCCCAAAAAATGCTACAAACCAGTCCAAAAAAACAACAACCTGCAATGGTCTAAATGCTGCCAGAAAACTGTTGTAAACCAGTCTACACACTGCTGCCCTACATCATAACAGCCCAAAAATTGAATTAAAATGGCAACTTAAAATTGTTTGAAAAAAGGAATCAAAAGAGTTTGTCAAAATAGTTCAATTGTTCTACTATTTCCCCCCTAAATGCTTTGTTCTTTCACTATCAAAGTCATATTCATGGGCAGAAAAATAAACACAAGAAAAAACTCAAGAGAGGAAAACAGAAAAATAGATGAAGTTTGTTCAAGAATCACAGCAATAATCTGAGCTAAAGAAGCTTGAGCATCAATAAGAGAGGGAGGGAGAACTTACTGTTTTTGAAGCTCCATCGGAGAGACTCCGATAGGTATTTCTTCTCCCTATTACTTCTGCATAACTTTCTCATATATCCATCAGTTTGAATCGTCTTTTTGCATCACTTTTATGCCATATGAATACTTTATTTATCATTTTGCTGTGTTCTGGAGCTGCTGCGTTTTGTTCACATTTAGAAATTGTTTAGAAATGATATTAATAAACATAAGAAAAATAATAAGTGAATAATAGAAACTAGAAAAATTAGAGAAATTATACATTAATATTTGTTCAACCTTCTCCAAAACTCAAAAAACAATACTCACTTTTTCCATACACTAAACAATCCTCTTCCAAACCTCTCAGCGCCGAGCTGCAACTGAAGACTCTGCTATATTCCGCCCATATGCTCGAAGAAACAAATCCAGACCAAATCATGGTTCCTGGGGGTGGGGGGGCTCCAGGGACGGAAAGGGTTTCATATCAGATACAAGAATCAAAAGGATCACAATGTGCTTTCTGCCAAAGCCTACTAGTTTGAATGGCAAGAAACTTGTTATTGATTCAACAACAAATGATCTATTGGGTAATGAATTTGTGGGTCCTCGAGCTCATCAAGAATACTATTAGTGTTAGTGTTTCTGTAGACAAATTAATTATTACATTGAATAGATACTTCAAAGAAGATCAACGTATTGTACTTGCTCAAGATGATACTATACAGAACCCACTTGTCTTGTCTTCTGTCAAAGCTAGTGCAGGTGGTGAAATGAATCCAGGAGCTTCAGGTGAACTTGAGCTTTCACCCTTCATAGCTATTGGACAATTGGGAGTTTATTCTTGTCATGTTCAGACAAACGCTTTTGACAACATAGAAGTGGACAGAAAAGGTGCACCCACTAAAGACCAATTGCAGTGTTGCATTAGACCTGAAGAGTTTTGACCCAGAATCCTGTAACTCTCAAACTAGTTTAGCTAGAGATGTAAATAGTGATACCAATGTGTGTATTAATATAGAAAATTGCCACCCTTTTTCTACTATCTCCTTCTTTCGTGACACAAACCTACATCCTAGCGACATCACCATCAATTGATGTAACTTTCAGTCTCAACCTAATAATCTTCTCACATAACTCACTTAGCAAAACTCAGACATTCAAGCTAACCCATACGCCCTCACCTTCGAATTTCCTCTCTTCAGCGAATGCACAGTCCACACGCGAATCACACTGTCGTTATTCAAAACCCATCTCGTTCTGCAGCTTTCTCAAACCAAAGCAGTATACTCCCTCCCTGTTTCCACTCGCACAAACTTGATCCCCAATCGCAATCGTCACTGTATTCCTAAGAATAGTATGTTGTTGAGGTGAAAGGGGGTATTGATTACATTCTTAAGCCTTTGATTATATTGGAGACGGAAGGACCTAAAGGGTTGCTGCCAAGAAGGCTTCTGGTGGTGATAATGGTGATACAGATGAAAGAGAGAGGATCACTTATTTTATTTAATTTTTTTTCAAGTTAATTGTTTTTTGTTTGAACCAGCAATAAAAATATTAATCTGAACATTTTTTCCCAATGTCAATAACAATACAACGGCACCTTTCCTTTGTGTTTAGGGTTTCAGAAAACTTTCCTTGTCCTCTTCCAAACCGGGTCGGCCCCATTGGGCCTTTTGGCCTAATCACACTATCAATATTCACCTTATTTTTTAATTAAAACATAAATATAACAGATAAATAGCATAGTTCAGTTGGCAAGGCATGTTTGTTATAACTTAAGGGACCCGAGTTTAACCCCTGTTGGGGCATTTTATTTCATTTTTATTTTGTTCTTTTAGCCTTATTTCCCAATTATATTAGCTTTAGTTTATTTTACATATAATTATTTCTCGCTATTATAAAATACAAAAACATGTTATAAATTAATCTCTTATTTAATTTTGTTATTTATTTAAATGCACGCTGATAAATTATCTTTTATTCAAGTCTTGTTTATTTAAATACATGCTTATAAACTAATATTTTATTTAATTTTTGTTCTAAAATGCATGCTAGTATAATTTAATTTTCGTTATTTATTTAATTGTCCAATTTTCATTTTAATTAATTTTATTATCGATCATTTAATCTTTATATCTTTCGTCTGTTTAAATTCCAAGGAAAATGTTTTTAATTTTGTTGACTTAATGTCATCAAATACATCTTATACGATTGTGCGAATCCCTTCATTCATTTTTGTTTTTACTATTTTTGTTAATCTTAAGTTAATTTTCCTAAAAAACTAAATTTTAAAAGTCACACCTTTTAAGTCAAAACTTTGACACCAGGTCGTCGTATCTTCAAAATCTCATTCACACTCATTTTTTACCAAACAAACCATTTTAACCAAACAAATAATTTTTAGCAAAAAAAAAGAGATATTTCAAAAGGTTCCTGCGGAGTACTGCAGATGCATTGGGTGCTAGTACCTTCCCTTGTATAATAAACTCGCGTACTCCAGATCTCTTTCAAAAACGCATTGCATTTTCATTACTTTTAAGTATTATTTTACATTGCGTATTTAAAGGTTTTATTTCGCTGTTTTCCCTTTTCTCTTGGAAATGATAAAGCGCGATGGCGACTCTTGCTTTTGCGAGTCGAGTTAATTAATAGCTCGATCTCCGATCTACCCCGCTACATTTTTTATCGCTAGAGAATTGGTGACTCTACTGGGGAGAGATTGACCTCTTGTTGGTTTATCCCTAAGTGGGTTAAGCCTAATTTGTAGTATATGTTTTATTATTATTGGTTTGTTTGATTATATGTTATATATTATGGTTATTTGGGTGTTGATGATACTTATAAAGGACAAGTCCTCTACCCAGACTAAGTTACACTTAAGAATAGGACAGGAGGTATAGTCATGTTAACTTTGATTGAGTAATCCCGAAGAAGGAGGCATGAAATCCCCCACTCAGTGGAAGCCCCTTTAACTGTAGTATTCGTTTACCGAGTAATCGGGAAGATGTTACTTCTTTCAACCTGGGAGTCAGAGAAGCTGAGAACCGTAGAACTCTTAACCCATCTTGGCCTCTTAGGTGTAGTTCGGAGAATATAATGGAGTAATCCGGAATGAGTTGTCACACGATGCTACACTCAGACGAGTTTATCTTGAGAATATTGCTAATTATCAAGTAATCGAGACGTTGTTAATACCCGAAGGAGGATCGTAGACTCTGGGAACTTTTAGAACCTAATTTTACAGGTGTGATTAAACCTTTAGTATATACCTTGGGGTGGTATTTACCTTTGAATCCTTGCTCATAGCATTGAACCTATGAACCCCCATGTTTGTGAACTTATGTGTAATTGTTGCATTATCATTCATTCATGCATCCATAAGCATTCTTTAAACATGTTTTTCAAGGAACTTAAGAATGATTTTTGAAGACATCTCAGGTACTTTTACCATGGATTTTGGAAAAATAAATACTCTGAGTTATAGTTTGAAGGATCCTGAGATTGAAGAGTTGAAGAGTTTGACTCCCAAGATTGCGAACCCTATGGATTTCTGAAAGAAATATGGATCTATTATTCCTCTTATGAAGTGTAAAATGAAGGAAGGTATCCTTACTACGTTGGTCCAGTTCTATGATCCGTTGTATCTATGCTTCACTTTTCCTGATTACCAGTTGATGCCCACTTTGGAAGAGTATTCTTATATACTTGGTTTACCAATCACCGACTACGTTCCTTTCTCCAGTTTAGAAGGGGAACCCAAATGTCATGAGATAGCAACAATTACCCACTTGAGGAAGTTTGAGATAGAAGATAACATGACTACCAAGGGAGGAATCTGAGGCTTACGTGCATAGTTTTTGTTGAAGAAAGCTCGTTACTTCCCCAAGATAAAGGATACTATTGCCTTTGAAGTTGTATTTACTTTGCTTGCTTATGGGTTATTCTTGTTCCTTAACATCGATAAGTTCTTGGATATCAACGCCATTAGAATCTTTTTGATTGGAAATCCAGTCCCTATGCTGCTAGGACAAACCTTTTATTCCATCCATCTTTGGAATTCCTACCAAGGTGGGATGATTATTTGTTGTGCACCATTGTTATACCAGTGTTATGTTTCCCATTTACTTGGGTTTGATGTTTTTTGGGATCTCAAGAAGGAGCCACGTTGGGTGCCAAAAATTATGGCTCTTACTCATTCCGACTTAGATTGGTACAATCAAGCTTATTATGATGTGAAGATCATTGATAGTTGTGGTGTTTTTCTCAACGTGCCTCTTCTTGGTACGAGGGGAGGAATTAACTACAATCATGTTCTTGCATGCCGCCAGTTTGGATACCCAATGAAAGACAAACCAAATAACATTCATCTGAGTGGTATATTTCTCCAAAAAGTAAAGGATCACAAAGCAGCTAAGGAGGAGATTGAAAGGGTTTGGTGCCATGTCCATAGAAAGGGAAGAGACATGTTAGGTCATAGATGTTTTGTTTTTTTGGAGCCTTACCTTCAATGGGTTCGTGGTAGGGCCTGTGTTCTCAAGATGCTTTATTATCCCGAGAAACCCGTATTCCCTGTTGCTACACCATCATATATTGCCATTCCTATTGAGAACATGAAAGAGTATCAGGAAAATCTTGCCAGAATGGAGTCTAAAAGAAATGCTAGGAAGGAAAAATATAGTATTTCTAAATACGAAAATAGGGTCTTGACTAGACAGCTGAAGGAAAATGAGGATATGTTATTTATTCAAGATGGTTGGTATTGATCGTGATGAGAAGCTTTGTCAAAAAGATGCATTGCTCAAGAAATATGCTATGGAAAAGAAGAGAAAGAAGGAAGATTTGATAGGCGTTACTCCTGTTCCTAATCCATGGAAGAAAATTGTTGATCAATTGGAAGCCGAGAAGATAGAGATGGAAGACTTCTAATAAAAGAATATTAGGATGCTCAAGTTATAAGTAGCATTTGGTCCTTCGACCGATGATGATTCTGAATGATCGTAGTCACTATCTTTTATTACTTATTCCATTTTGTAAAACTTTTTAAAGGGCTTTTATGTTCCAAAGTTGTAATTTTCTGCCTTTTATTAATTAAATGAGTTTTGTTATTCCAAATTCCTTTATCATTGATGTGTGAAAAGTTGTCAAAGTATTAAAGTTCCTTGAAAAACTATCGAAAATAAGTAATCATTTGCATCGCATATCATGCATCATTCAACATTCAATATTACATGTTTTCTAGAGTCTTATCTTGCTTCTTTTTCCACTCTAATAGAATGTCAAGTTGTTTCACTAGTATAATACTCGAGCCAATACTCGAGCAACAAAATCATGAGCTTCGCAAGGAGGTTACTACTCTTCGTACTGGAATGGAAAAGTTGATGGCTTTGGTGGAAAGTTTAATGGCTGCTCAGAATCAGCCATAGACTTCGGCCACTGAAGCTCAAGCTCAAACTACTATGGTTTCCGAGGTCGTCACTACTCCAGCCTCTTTGGCTCAAGTCAACCCTCCGCACCATCAAATGTCGAAAGTTTTTCCATGGGGTATGCCTTACAATTTCACGACAGGAGGGTACCAGCCTACTGTGCAACCCATGATTCAACCTATTATGTCTTTTCCTCAACCTGAGATGACTGGTGTTCAACCTGTGATCTAGCCTGTGGTATCTTTCCCTTATCTTGTGATGACTACTGCTGCTCTCGTGGTTCATACTATTCCATATAAAAATGAACCCATTCATCATGCTGAACCTGCTGAAAGTTTAGGCATATTCGATAGGATGGAGGAGTTCCAAGACCAATTCCAAGAAATGCAGAGGGAAATTAGAGCACTTAAAGGGAAAGACATGTTCGGGAAAAATGCTCACGACTTGTGTTTGGTCCCAAACGTGAAAATTCCAACTAAGTTCAAAGTGCCAGACTTTGAAAAATACAAAGGTGACTCATG